CTACTGTGTCTTTACAAGGTGTAATGAAAAATACAAAGAATGCTTCTGCCAAGTGCCTTTCAGTGCAAAGGCAGGCTGTAAAAACATGACAGAGGGTCTTCATCCACCGGGTCTGACCCCATGTGACTTCTGGCTCTTCCGCAAAGTCAAAATGACCATGAAAGGTAAACATTTTGAATCAGTTCTGGTCATTGAGACAGCCATGACAGTGTAACTAAAGACAATCACAGAAGAGACCTCCCAGAGCTGCTTCACAAAGTGGCAACAATGGTAGGATAAGTGTATTTGAAGCAAGGATGAGTATTTTGAGGAAGATTAATGACAATGTGTCTTTTACTGTAATACTTTTTTTTTTATTTAAGCACATACTGTGTTTTTCAAATATATCTCATAAACCTTCCCACTAATTCCTTAAGGTAGGGATTATTATGATCACCATTTCCACACAAGATTCTGAGCACCACATGATTAAGAATGTATAAATTTAGAATATGGGGTGTGGACCAAGTAATTTTGACTTCAGGGCCCAAACCTGGACTCTGCATCAAGTAGCTATAACATGTGAGCCTGTTCACACGATTGGCTGGCTTCATACAGTGGGGTTTTCATGCTGTAATCTATGACTTTATCTTTTAACTAAAATGCTTAGGTTGTACTTATACTGAAGGAGTAATCTAGGTTCCATGACATATCACTGGACAGGAAAGCAGAACAAACCTCAGGTTTGGGTGTTGTTTGTTTGTTTGCTTGTTTTTAAGCTACATGACTTTGGATACCTGGTTAACTAATTTCTATGACTTCCCAGTTACCCAACAGCCGTTGTGTTACCTATCTCTTTATTCACTCATTCATTTAATACATATAGAGCCCCTGCTGTATGCTATGCAGTACGCATACAGCAGCAAATCAGAATAAATAAAAAGCTCTCTTTGTCTCAGTTGTTTTGTCTTGTTTTTCCATTGTAGAATTTGTTGTGTTAGTTGATTCCTAAGATGACTTCTTGCTCAAACTTTCTATGAAATCTAAGTGGCAGATTTGTTTTTAAAACTCATAGTAGGACAAAACAGTTCTGGGATACTCCACACTTAATGAATATACCAAGATTGTGGCCCAGGGAACTGTTGAGAAACTCCACTGCCTGACTCTTCTGACATCAAAGGCCACAGATGCTTTCTTCACTGACCTCCTCTCACACAGGGACTGTCAGGATCCTCCTCTCTGATTTCATCAGATTTCAACAGGTCTGTGTGGCTCCTAGTAGAGCCATGGTGAGCTATGACTTTGTCCCATATAGTGCTAATAGAAGAAAATCCTTAGGAAGATAATCCACCAATTTCTCAAATCCTAGGAGGTAAAACTGAAGGCACTTGATTCCATGCTTGACCTCAGGCAGCCTACCGTGAAGACATAAGTTCTTATGAGGTCCCCAGTAAACCTCCTCCAATACCAACAAAGAGACTTTTCTCTTGGTTCTCACGTTGTCTCTTTGAGGCAGTAGACATTCTCAGATCCTTCATTTCTACCCTTTTTGAAGGGATACCAGTGAATCAGGACAGTAAACAGTGGCAGAATAATTAAGAACTAGCATTGGATTCATCCAGACATGGATTCAAGTCAAGTCTCTAACTGTGTGACTTTGGGAAAATTACTTGACTTTTCTGAGGTTTACTTTCATTGTTTGTCAAACATACGTTAGAAAAATCTGATACCTGATTAACTAATTTCTGTGACTTCCCAATTGCCCAACAGCTGTTGTGTTAGCCATCCTTTTATTCAGTCATTCATTTAATACATATAGAGCACCTGCTGTACGCTATGCAGTAGGCATATAGCAGCGAACCAGAATAAATAAAAATCTATCATCTTGGAGCTTAGGTCTCATAAGTAAAAATGAACAATAAAGTAAAGACTGTGCATATTTTATTAGAAAGTTAAAAGGGAAAGTTCTGCAGGGAAAAGTAAGATACAAAAAGAGAATCAGGACTGCCAGGGATGGGGGAAGGATGTCATCAGGTAAGAAGGGGTTGATGGTTGGATTACTTTGTTGCCTAGATAAACACCACTTAAACATATCACAAGGCCATTTGCAAAGCACCCCCATTCTCATCATAGTTTGTTTGGTGAGGTTATCAGAGGTGTCATGACTCTTATCGTTCATGCATAGGCCAGGTTGGTACCCAGGTCTGTCCAGTATCTGTTCTGCTATGCCAGCCTCTGTTGCCCCACTTGCCCTGGGTGTAATAATGCCAACAGCAGATGCACCTGAGCAGAGGGAGTATCACTGTTCCCCTTCTGTGGACTGGGGCCAATACTGTAAACACGTGCCCCATCCCTCAAGGGACAGAGCCAGCATTTGTGAAGAGTCACCCATGGGTGCATCTTTACCGACTCACCTTGCCTTCCAGTCTCCCCCTTTCAAGTCATGATAAGTGCATAGGCATTTCTAAAAGGTAAATCCAGGGCCAAACACCTGATTCTTCTCTGCTACTTGACACCCAGACTCTGGACCCCTGCCATCTTTTTTCAGACCAAAACTAAGTTTTTGGTAGCTTCTGTGACCCCAAACTCTTTTCTGAGATCTGGAGAACTGGATGTGTCTACTTACTCATAATAAACCAAAGCATATATTTGAAGCTTATCAGTTTTTGAATGCAGTAATTATAGAGACCAGTCTCACAATGCCATGAATATTTTATCTTGGAGATGACTGCATAAATATTGTATTTGAATATTATGGCCTGGAACACCACATTAATATTGTAAGACCATACTATCACCCTTACAATGGAAGATGAAATTAAAAAGCTGAGCTATAGAAGGAAAAATTTGTTAGTCTCCTCACCTGTATTTCTTTTCTCCCTTCCACCCAGTCTGGTTTCCGTGTAACTTTTCGTATAAGTTATCTAAGATTTAAAGTTTTAATTATGGTCATATGCACTGACTGGACATTCTTACATAACTAGCACTGGCAAGAACTGAAGTAGAATTTCATTTCCCTAAACTCAGGGGCATTCCCTGCCATGCCCAGTCATATCTTCATGTGGTAATGTAACTATAATGAAAAACCTTTACTAAGCTCTCTCCCAAGCTAGAACATGACTTGCTAAGGAGCTTGGATTTTGCATGTGGAGCGATGTGTTAAAGAAAGAAGACCAGAAACATTGGACACTTCGGTTTTCTGTTGGGGTCCACCTTTGTGTGAGTCTTCTGTGTGTCCTTGACAAAGTCATCAGCCTCCTCTGGGCCTCTCTGTATGCATGTGTGATGTAATGCTTGCCCCATGCCTTCTTCATAGGTATAATGGAGTGGCTTATAGGTCACACTGGAATGACTGCAGACCTGTGAGCGGGATTCAGCCTGAGACTTTTTTTTTTTTTGCTAGAGACACTTTTTAAAGGAATGTGGGTGCTTCTCAAAATGTGCATTTTCTACTTCTGTGCAAGCAGAAACACCACTCCCCTTTATTTTACCTTCAACCTGATTCACAGTGTCCATTGCCTGTCTGACCCCTGTAGGCATTAAACTTTATAACCCAGACTTAGCACAACTTTTCATTTATACCAAGGGGAAAATAGACTCAGGATTCCTCACTTTTTGAAGTCACCCATCTCAGGGTGAGCCTTTCAGGGAGATGCAAAACCCTTGACCAGAAGCCTGTACATGGCAGTTGTACATGGAATAGGGAGGATGTGGTGGTAATAATATATAGATGCATGTGTAAAGCACATCATGTATAAGGAATCAAAGAATCCAGGTTCTGGGCAATGTGTGTGGCTCAGCAGGTTGGAGGAACAAAAGGGTCCCTGGGCTGTATCTCCTCACCAGATAACTGGCTCGGTGGAGCAGAGATTCTCCTTTTTTTTCTTTCCTGAACCCATGCCAGAGTCTAGCATGGTGCCTGGTACACAGTAATAAGCTACAAATGTTTGCTTCAATGAACTTGAAAGTTTGAGCAGGCTTGGTTCTAGCTATGTCCATCCTCAACACCTCTATGACCTTTCTGAATCACAAAATAGGAAAATCTGCCTTCTTGCATAATCATAAATATGATTATTACATATAAATATACTTATTAGCATAGGAATTACTAATTTGGGAGCTTACAGGGAGAACTTGAGGAGGGTCCATGACCTGAGATGGAAAGATAATATCCTTATTTCCACCAAGTTCTAAATGAGGTATAACTGAAGGTAGGTACCAAACTGTGGTACTGCTAGTAGTAACCAAATTTGTCAGCAATAAAAATCACATACCTTCAGCCAGGCACAGTAGCATATGCTGTAGTTACAGGTACTTGGGAGGCTGAGGCAGGATTGCAACTTCAAAGCCAGGTTGGGCAGTTTAGCAAGACCCTGTCAATCAATCAATCAGTCAGTCAACCAATCAGGCTAGGGATGTAGCTCAGTGGTAGAACACCTCTGGATTCAATCCTAGTGTCACACACACACACACACACAAATCACTTTTCTATCACATTCCATTTTGTTCAGATACTTCTAGATAGCATTTACACTCACTTCAACTCCAAAACTATGTAAAGTATTAGACTTGCTACAGCATTTTGTCACTTGAAGTGTTAATAAAGAAATACATGAGATAACATGAATTTGATGTTTTCCAAAATACTTCGTAGTTCCATATATAATGTGTGAGAAACACATCTATTACTATATCATAACTTCAGTGTCACTTTTCTGCATATTTTGCCATATGCATTTAGGAGCACCATTCTGAGATGACGCCCCCAGCAGCGATGGTACAGAAGTGCTTTGAAAAGGGCAGTGAACAAGAAGTAGATCTAGTAGATAATGATTGCCATCTGATGGTGATGGTCAAGTCTCCTGTGCTCTATAAGTTTCCATAATAATGGTGCTTGTCTCAGTACCTGGCACATAGCAAGGTCTTAATCACGCTGTTACTGCTGTGGTGGCATCATTCGTGCTCTAAGCAGAGTCTCTTTCACGCCAACTTCGGGCTCAAGACTGCCTTCTTGCTTCCAGGTTCATCCGGAAGCAAGGTCTGGACCGGCTCTTCCTGGAGTGTGATGCCCACATGTGGCGTCTGGGGGACCGGCGTATCCCTGAAGGTATTGCTGTCGATGGTGGCTCTGATTGGTTCCTACTGAACCGGAAGTTTGTGGAGTATGTGACATTTTCCACAGATGACCTGGTGACCAAGATGAAGCAGTTCTACTCTTACACCCTACTACCTGCTGAGGTAAGTTCCAGCAAAGCTTCCCTAAGACAGGTTGGAGCTGGCACTGGCCTGGGGAGAGGGGACTGAATGTCTGACCTTGCTGTCCTAGTGGTGCTTCTGTCCCTCCTCCAGTCTGCATGGAGGCCATGTGCATAGACACTGACAAGTTGCATAGTGTCTTTGGGCAACATAGAAAAAGCAGCTCAATATACTTGGCCCCACTGAGAGTATTTGGAAAAATCTCAGCGAGCTTGAAACTACTTCTCAGACCTCAGGGTGGGAAGCCCCACTGTGTGAGGCAGCAGACCATTCCCAGGCCTTCTGGAAACAGTATGGATCCAGTTCTGAAGGGTTGTTACCAACATGCCAGCAGCTTTCTTGTCAAATATGGCCTCAGATCGTCTCTCCCTATGCCCAGATCACTTTCATTCTAATTTCTGAAGTCAGAGAACCCCAAAGCTTGTTCCACTTCTATGGAGCCCATAGCATTTCTTGTGAATGGTCCACCCTTTCTCCCCTGGCAGGACCCCCACCTCTAGACTGTGTGGGGTGTGCATTTCTGCAGACCAACCCTGACCGTCCATCTTATCTGATGATATCCATCTTCCTCACCATGTGTAGGGCAGTGCCCAGCTCCAGGGAGGGCTGGCTGCCCATGTGTGTGTGTGTGTGACGCATCCCTCCCAAGGGATGATTATGCTCTAGTCATCACCAGACCAGGCTTTACTATTCTACACACACGTTATGTAATCAACTTATAATCCTGTTTCAGTGAAAATCACCTTTCTCTCAATTCTGATAACCTCTTCATCCATTATCTCACAGGGAATTTCTGCATCATTATGAAAGAACACAGGGCAATCGGTAATTGGGGCCTCACTGCCACTGCTTGGTAGAGAATAGGTGCCTTGTGGGCTTGTAGATGATTTAAGCTTAGACCCAGATCCTCTGACGTGTCATTTAGCATTACAGCAAGGCCAGCAGGGTGTGATGGGTGGAGCTTCATCTTGCCTAGCCACTCACTCAGAAGAGATTGTTGGGAGTTTGGCTGTTTTCATCAGGGATGTGCACAACTCTGCAGCTGGCCACAGCTTTGTGTGCTCTTGCTGCACCTCCACTGCCCCAACACACACACACACATGGGCCCAAGGTTTCTTTTAGACTTTTTCTCCCCCACTGCGCCCCTGCTCTGCCCTTCCTTCTCCTGGATGCCTCCAGCAGACTAGATTAGAAGAAATCTGAAAGCTGCCCATAAATGAGTAACAGACACCTATCCCTAACATCTTACCTCAGAGACCAGAAAGCAGGGGAGAATATATCCTTCTGGTGGCTGAGACTGCTGTAAAGTAGGGTTGAAATGGAAATTTCTCTTCCTCCCTCTCCCCCTTCTCTCAAATTCAGTAGCTCCAACCGTTGTGTCTCCTCTCTGGTTGCTCTTTTCACACTGACTCCTTCTCAGATGCTCTGGAGAGATTGTTCAAGGGTCCTATGATTAGGGAGAAATAATTTAAGCTGGTTTAGCATCGCAGACAAGCAGCCCACCTTTCCGGGTTGTAGTCATACTGTGAGGTGTGATGTCTAGTGATTCAGCACCATGCACAGCGGGCAGTTCCACCCTTCCCTTGCTTACAGGGCGCCTATTTTAGGACCACAGGGAGCACGTGGGCCTGGCTTCCCTGGGTAGGGGTCACACTGTGTGACTGACCAAGGCAAGCGAGGGCCTGGGATCCTTTTCAGATCTGGGCTTGGCGGATCCATGGATCTGGCCTCCCTCACCCAGGAGTAAAATTCTAGCACATCAGCCGTTATCACCAAGCTATCTCAGACCTAAAGCCTTTTAATTTCAAATTTGGCTCTGTGCAAACCAAGCCCTTGGTTTCCCGGAAAATTTTTCTCTATATTTGGTACATATGTGTTGACATAACCTGAGAGACTTTTTCCATCTGCCCTAAAGCAGATGCCCTGCGTGGTAAGAGATGTCTTGAAATCAGACTCTAGATACTGGGGAAGACAGCCCTCAGGGTAGGAAAAATTCAGCCACCCTGGACACAGCAAGAAGCTGCACCAGAGTTGGCCATGTGGCAGCTGACCTTTCTGCCTATACAGAACAGATGGGGCTCTGGGAACTCTTTCACAGGTGGAGGCACCAAGGAGGACCATAAGCCTAGGATACTTGAGGAAAGCTGGGAGAGGTCTCAGGCTGGCTCCGTTTTCTCCCTGCAGTCCTTCTTCCACACAGTCCTGGAGAACAGCCCCCACTGTGACACCATGGTGGACAACAACTTGCGTATCACCAACTGGAACCGCAAGCTGGGCTGCAAGTGCCAGTACAAGCACATTGTGGACTGGTGTGGCTGCTCCCCCAATGACTTCAAGCCCCAGGATTTCCACCGCTTCCAGGTAAGCCCATATGCCCTGCAGCCCCCAGCCTGCCCTTCCTGCACGCAGCTGCAGGTAGCCAGAGCCACACCTGTAGAGCTTGCCATTTCTCACTGCCCCACACTGGCTGTTAGTGATATTGATAGCATCATCCACAGCAACCAACATTAACTACATCTATGTGTTCCATGCCAGGAATAGGAGACATTTTCCCTCTGCTGAGCAGATAGCAGATTCCCTGGGTGTTGAAACTGGGTTCTAGACCATGGTTCTATACATTTTGTCTGTGTAGACTCATTACCTCTGCAAGAATTTCATAATAGATCTTATTATTCCATCTCAAGATGGAGAAACTGAAGCATAGAAAAATCAGGCCATGGGTCCCAATGTGTCTGTTTCCGAGGGCCTTTCTCGTGCACTTCTCTGCACTTCCTTTCCATTAGAATTCCCTGGAAACCCGGTGCAGTGGCACCTGCCTGTAATCCCAGTGCTCTGGGAGGCTGACACAAGAGGATCACAAGTTCAAGTTCTGCCAGGGCATCTGTGCCACATAGCAAGACCCTATTTTAAAATTAAAAATAAATAAAAAGAGCTCAGTGTGAAGGCCCCAATACAGCTGAAAAAAAAAAAAAAGTTACCTTGAAATATTTGTTAAAAACATTTCTCACTATAATCTTGACCATATCAAGGGCAGAGTTTTTCAACCCCGGCACTTCTGACATTGTGGCCAGACCCTTCTGTGCTATGGGCCTGTCCTGTGCACTGTGGAGTGTTTGGCAGCATCCCTGTCCTTGGCCCAGTAGGCACCAGGAGCCCGCTGCAGCTATGATAACCAAAAATGTCTCCAGACATTGCCAGATGTTCCTTGGTGAAAAACTTGTCCCTGGTGGAGAAGCACTGATCTCCAGAAAGTTCCCAAATTGTGTATTTTTGTTGTATTACATTTTAGGAAATATCTGATGAGCCACCAAGTTCAGGAACTGCCGTGCTTTGTGCACTTGAGGGAGTAGCAAGCTCTAGAGCTGCTGTTACCTTCACAGCTGTCTCCGCACAGCCTGGCAATTTACAGTTCTGAGGATCACAGAGGCAGGAGGGCAGGAGATGCTTCAACTTTCAGGTCCTACCCTGAAAGGCAAGCTCCCCTGATTCCCCCTCCTGCTCTGCTCCCTCCAGACCAGACTGCGGGCTGGGAGGGGCGGGGCTCTCTGTGTTTCTTGCTCCTCTCCACCTTGCTGTGCAGCTTGTGAATTTGGTAGGGCCGGGGTCCGGTGTTCCACTCTGGTATTTCTTGCCCCAGTCAGGTTTTTCCCATCGGACCCAAAGCCATCCTGGTTTCAAGCCTCCACATGAGCACAACACATAGCAGATTTTAATTCTGTAACTCACCCTTAAATTTCTTTAGGACCTAGTGTCTTTTAGGGCTGTTTTGGGTAGCAGGTAGAAAGCTACCTAGAAGTCTCCCCAAACTCATGTTACCTGGGAATGAACGTGGGTGACGTTTGGACTCTCCACCATCCATGCAGAAAGGATTGGCAGAGCAGGAAGGGTTGCAAGGGAAACATCTGAACGATTCAAAAGAAGAAAAGGAAAAGGACTCCTACGTGTGCAGAGGCCATTGTCACCCTTGCTGCCGAGGACCTTCATCAGTTAGAGAAAGGACCCAGAGCCTCCGCCTGGCACCTCCTGGGCAGCAACATCTGTATTCCAGCCCCAGCGTCCCGGGGACGTTGTGCCTTCTGATAAAGCATGGCTCACTTGGCAGCTGTGTCATGTGCTCACAGCTCTTTCCTTCAGAGTAAACAAAGATCAAGAATATCCTCAGTCATCTAGAATCAAGCAACCGCTGCCTGCAAGGAACTTGGTGTTCTTGTCCAAAGAACTCCAAGGAAGAGAGTGATAAATATAGAAACGTGCCCTTTTAGAAAATCAGGCTATGGTCAGACAATTGCCAGCAAAGTAACAAGGCCTCCCTGCCACTGAGGCTGGTTTTCTTCCCCTGGAAAATCAAGTCTTACGGTCACCTGCAAAGACAGTTTGCTACTAATAATGAACTGAAGTAGTAAAAATAATCATAATAATAGTGGTTAACTGGTATGGTACACCATCTTCTTTGTGGTACTGAGGATTGAACCCAGGCCCTTCACAATGAACTACATCCCCAGATTTTTATTCTTTGTTATTTTGAGACGGAGTCTCACTAAGTGGCTTAGTTGCCCAGGTTGGCTTGAATTTGAGATCATCCCACCTCATCCTCCCAGAGTGCTGAGATTACAGGTGTGTGCCACCATTCTTACCTTATATACCCATTTTAAGGATGAGCAAACCAGAGCAGATGGGTGACCTGCCCAAAGACATACACAGCTAAGCAGAGGATTAGCAAAGAGTAGCAAAGGACTCAAACTCAGGTGGTCCAACTCCATTCAGAGCTACTGTGAAGGAACCAAGCCGACTCCTGCTCCACAGAGAGGGAGGCCCAGAGCTCATGAAGCAGCAAGGCGTGGCATGTTTACAGTAATACTAAGGGCCTTTATTTTTCCTGGAGTTTGCAGTTTGCTCAGTTAGGTTGATCATACAGTAGTGCCACAGAAAGAGCTCGGGTTTGGAGAAATAAAGCGCACAGTTTTGTACATATCGGTTCCCTCTCTGAGCTTGGTGTTCTCATCCGTAAAATGGAATCAGTGCCTAACCTAGCTGAGTTATGAGAGGGCTAGAAGTAATGACATAAGTGCAATGCTCAGCATATAGGATTGCTTGGAAGTTATTATTATCATTATTGTTGCTATTAATTCACTGAAGCGCAGACAGTGCTAGACCAAATTTAGGTCCATAATAACAAAGCTCTTCAAGAGACTGAGCTGTGTTTTGCTTGTAGAGCAAGGGTCAGCAAACCACAGGCCCCAGGCAAAAGCCCTGCCTGCTTCTGTAACTGAACTTTCATTGGCACATAGCCAATCTCTTTGTTTACTATCTCGCCTATAGCTGTTTTCCTGCTACAAAAGCAGAGTTGGGTAGTTTAAAATCTGCAGGTATTTACTGTCTGTCACTTTACTAAAAATATTTACCAATCCCTAACCAAGAAAATAGTACAAAACCTGAGAGGTGGCAAGTGCTTGGGTTTTTTATTTCTTTGGCCTTCAAGCATGAATTGGAATCCCAGCTTGTCACTGACTTGCTGTGTGTCATTAGACAGGTCCCATCCCCTCTCTGGGCCTATTTCCTTCAGTGTGTTTCTACCCGTGGTCCTTAAGCACTGCATCAGTCACGTGGGAATATTTTTTCCCATTGGGTACACATTTCTGAGCTTCACCCAAGAGATGCTGACTCAGTAAGTCTCAAGAAGGACCCTAGAATCTGAATTTGTAAAATACTGAGATGGCTCCAAAGTACAGCTAGCACCTGGTATCACTTGCATCATCCTCAAATGGATCAACTGGAAACCCAAAGAGTTCCCATCTCATTCCTGGAGATTCTCATCAGTAAATCTTTCGTGTCCCTGGTGAGTGTGCAAGTCCGCTGCAGCACCACAGAGGGACGAGGGGGTGATGATGGGGACCACGGCGGCAGCGGAGCCCACGTCCTGTCTGAAGGGATCCCGCTGCTCAGCTCTAACCAGCTGTTACCATGGAAGAACCTGGGCTTGGGGACACCAGATCAATTGCTGTTTAAAGGGAAATTGTTTCTCTGACTCTTCCCCTTTTTAAATGTTTCCAGCTAGTTCAATTTGAAAACATTCTGCTGGTCAACTAAAATCCACCTGCAGGCTGTGTTTGCCCTCAACAACTAGTCTGTGACCTCTGCTGAGTGATCTCTGAGAGCTGTCCCAGCTATAAACACCTAGGATTTAATTTATTTAACAGACATTTCAGTGATGCATACTAAGAGCCTACACTGCTTTCAGTGCTTCATAGGTCTCAAGCATAGATAGGATCGTTCCCTCCACACGCCTCCATGGGGGCGGGATGACCATGGAGCGGTGGTAAGAGTCAGGGCTGGAGTTCGGATGCCTCAATGGGATGGACTATGAGATAAGAGTCCCCGTCATCACTTGCCGACGAGTTTTGTTTTGTTTTTTCCACCTCCCGAGTGCAGCAGACAGCCAGGCCCACCTTCTTTGCCCGCAAGTTTGAAGCCGTGGTGAATCAGGAGATCATCGGGCAGCTGGACTACTACCTGTATGGGAACTACCCGACAGGCACCCCGGGCCTGCGCTCCTACTGGGAGAACCTTTATGATGAGCCTGATGGAGTCCATAGCCTGAGCGACGTGGCACTCACCCTGTACCACTCCTTCGCACGCCTGGGCCTGCGGAGGGCCGAGTCCTCCCTACACACAGAGGGTGAGAACAGCTGCAGGTGAGTTGAACCTGTGGGCTGGAGCTGCCAGGATAGGGAGCTCCAGCTGGAAGCTCGGGGTACTGAGGAGGGTCTCCCCACCCCAGGGGCTGCAGTGCCCTCATATCATTCCTGCATCCCTCCTTCTGTGAGCACCTTCCTAGCTAAACCATGGTCACCCTTGCTGTTCACTTGGTAGCATCTCAGAAAGCCAGCTTTACCCAGCACTCTGGTAGGCTGAGGCGAGAAGATCACAAGTTTGAGCCTGGACCACTTAGGGACTTAGCAAGACCTTGTCTTAGAATAAAAAAGGTCCAGGGGTGTAGCTCAGTGCCAAGATCCTGGGTTTAGTCCCCAGTACTGAGGAAGGGAGCAAAAAAAAAAAGAAATCCATCTCAGATATTTTACCCCGGTGACTGTCTTTCAGGCTCCTTCTACATGCTGCATGTATGTGTTTTGGAAAGAAGCTCTATGTCACTGTGTTATGTGCTAGTATAAGTCTTAAGTGGAAGGTAACCATGAGGAAATACACAAAAGAAACACAACAGTACTTCTGGTGGAAATTTTCAAATGTATACAAAATAGAGAGTAGTGGGGTCCGGCCTTCCTGTCACCCCACACAGCAGTTACTCACTTCACCCATCTTATGGTGTCCTGGCCTTCTCCTACTCTCCACCTCCTCCCAGAGCAGTGTAAGCATATGCCAGACATCCCATCCTTTCAGCCATGAATGTTTTAATATGTGCCTCTGAAAATGGACTCCTGTTTAAGACATAACTAGCACATCATTTCCACACCTAAAAATATAAGCCAGTAAATTATTAAAAGGCAAAGCTACAGTTTAAAATGTTCAGCCATCCTGTAGAATTCTGTCCCCCTCCTGCTAGTGGGTACCACTTGATACTTCCGGAAAGAATGTTCTAGAATATGCAGAAAACAGAGAGAAAGAAAATAGCTCAGCAGATCCCCTCCTGCCATCTCTTTCCCTCACCAGCCAACCCTTTGCGTTTTGTGTTCCTTTTCTTCCCTTCTCCAGCTCTAGGCATGGGGTTACTTGCATAATCACAAGAATTCTGCACCCTCTCACCCCTTGGCATTACACTGTGAGCCCCCCTTCCCCCATGTCGCTGTCAACGTCCCTCGAAATGATCGTCCTCAATGCCGTTCCTAGTCCATCAAGTGGAAATTCCTATTTGCTTAATCCAGCCCTTTACTGTTGCTATTGTCAGTAATGTGCCATTGTAAATAATGTTCTGATGAATATCTTTCTTGCAGAATGCCTTTAAAAAAATTCTCTTTTCTGATTACTTCTTTAGGATAGCTTCCCAGAAGTGCCTGTAATGACTCTTTCTCCCTCTTTTTCCTTCTCCTCCCACCTCTTTCTCTTAACAACACGGCACATTTTTTCCTAATCTTTGAGGCTCAGGTTCTTGTTACTGTGGCTTCCCTCGTGTGTTCCTCTTTGTCCAGTCTTCCCTCTCTTCAAAGAGGGAAGAAAGGAAAGAACGGGACTATTTCTGCAAACCCAGGCAGGCTTCCCACCTGGTCCCCTGTGCAGAGCCTGCAGGGTTTCTCTGAGGCTCCGGGCATCTTCAGTGCCTCCCCAGTTCCCAGTCTTCTCTGCAGGTTTAGATAGTTCAAAGACAGGCCAGAGTGTGTTAGGGACCAGGACCTACACTTCGAACTCTACCTGCTCACTAGGGCACATGGGCAAGTCATGAACTTCTGCAGAACCTCGGGTTCTGCATCTGTCCCATGACAAGAATTGCATCACAAGGGAATAGGAGGTTTGAAGGAGAAAATTGTCTAAAACTACCTTAAGAGTTACGTAGTGTTGTTGTCACCATTTTTGACAGTGTTTCATTCACTAAATATCAGTAGTGTTTATGTTGTTGTTGGTGTCCTAAACATTATTTTTACGCTGTCAAAATTAGTAGTAAACCTATCGCATGAGATAGTTTCCAGTTATATGAGCCTCCCACTGAACTCATGATGATTTTCTTTACTCACAGTTCCCTCTGTCTTCCCATAGCTAACCTTTTCCCATGGGCAGGATCATCCAACAGCTACTTCCTCTCTCAAGCTTTTGAAAGGCTCCCCCAAGAGCCCACTCCCAACCTGTCCCAAGCTGAAGTGGCCCAGGAATTTCACCTCCAGCACATCCCCTGCACTGGGCTACCGTGTCTTAGGTCAAGGTTGCCCTGGATGTCTGACCCTAGCTAGTCTGGGGCAGAATCTAGATACTGAATGCATCCGCAATGCACAGTTCTTTGCCCCAAGCTTGAGATGACCTCCGGGAATAGTTTTAATCCCAAGCTTCCTAGGATGTATAAGATGGTTGATCTTATAGGAAATTCCAAAGACACCCCCAATTTATTTAAGGTTGTTGAAATTTTCCCCTGGTACTTGTTTTGAATGAAGTGAGCCGTCAAGTTGCCTCAGGCCCGGAATCCTTGGGCTTCTGTCTCATTTTTTATTGTGATGGAACCATTGCGCCTTGCTCGGGGCAAAGCCATATATTTATGAGTGGGAACCTGCAAATAAATCAGGACAAAGGACCCTTATCCCAAAAAGCAAAAGAGAATGAATTGCTACCCCTCGGGTATCTGGGGAAGTAGCAAGTGAAAACTGAGTCTCATTTTGTCTGGGCGTTTCACACACGTTGTACATTTCCAGTCTGTAATATGACCTTTTATAAAAATAATGCTTATTGATTTTTTTCTCATTATAAAGTAACACATGTGCATTGTAGAAATCCTTGAAATGGAAGAATCAAACCTAAGAGAACAAGAAAATAAAGCTCACTTCTGACCCACTACCCAGGGATAAGAATGTCAATATTTTATACCAGCCCTTCAAAGCCAGGTGCCTTCCAAGGCCAGGTGGCAGGAGGTACCAGTCAGAGTGGCCCTGGCAAGGGCACTGACCACACCTTCCCAGAGTGCCTGGGATCCATGGTGCTGTAACCTGGTACACCTGTCAGAATGTAGACTTGACTTGCCAAGCAAATCTTTTGACTTTTTTTTCAGGAAAACTCAGAAATTCTAATTTTTATGTGAGTCTCTTAATTTTTTCAGTACCCATCTTATTAAAGTAACAAAAAAATCTACTTTGGGTCAGATGAATGTATCTGTGACATCCTATAGGTTACTGTTTTGCATCCTGATCATTTCTGCCTTCTTAATAAACTCACTGTTTTAATAACTTAAGTATTAAATGTGTAAAGCTGAGGCTTAATTGTTTCAATACCAAACACAGTCACAGTGAGACACCAGAGGGCTTTGTGCTCGGCATTGGGTTACACATTCTCCATATGTGCCCTCAAAGCACAAGGGTCTAGAGAAATCCTAGATTTTAGCTCATTCAACAAGCGCTAACTGAACATCCACCACATGTCAGGCTCTGTGTTAGGCACTGGCCGTTCATTCAGCCATGGCCCACACAGACTGGGCCCCTGAGCTCAAGACTGTCACAGTCTATGTAAAGATAGGTGGTTCCCAAGCAAAATAAGCTGGAACAAAAGATCAGTAGAAATAAATGCTTTGCTGAGAATGAAGGTAAATCCCCAGGCAGTGATGAGAGAGGGACTTTAGAGTCAGCAGTCAAGGAAGATCTCTTGAGGTGGTAACATTGAGCATAAAGTTAAGACCGAGTCAGCCATCCACTTATAAGAAAAGAAGAGCATCTCCCCAGAGAGAATGCCATGTTCAAAGGCCCTGAGGCAGAAAAGACCTTAGCATATTTAAGGATCCTAAATAAGGTCCCTAAGTCTAGAAGGTGGTGGCTTGGGAAAAAGGGGCATACACCTGTAATCTTAGCACTCGGGATGCTAAGGCAGGAGGATCTCTGCAAGTTCAAGGCCAGCCTGGGCTACACAGTAAAACCCTGCCTCAAAAAAAAAAAAAGAAAAAAGAAAAAATACACAAAAATAAAAGAGACACAAGGAATAAGTTTGGCTTTTATTGCACCACTAAGGACATTTCTCATGGCATGCAAGCCGGGAGTGACGGACATGACTGCTGTGAAAACAGGATGTAGGAGTCCAAGTAGGCAGAAGGAGGAAGCGCCAGTGAGGAGTGAAGCTGACTTGCACTAGGCTTCCGGCAGTGCAAAAGGGGGGTGGAAGGTGAAGGATGGGTTCAAATGAAGACAGCTTTCAGAGTAGAAGATGAGGAAAGGCCACCAATCAAATGAATGGCTGGATGCCTGGTGCTGTTGATTATTGCTTATTTTCTGGACCTGCATACCCCTCAGCATACTTCACCACCCTCTTCTGGAAACACTTTCCTCTTTTGACTCCCACAGGATCAAGCACTCTTGCTTCTCTTCTGCGCTCCACAGTGCCACCACCCTACAGCGTAGACTCTCACAGGGCACTTCTTATCCATTGCCACAGCAGTGCTGCATAACACACGTCTCCTGGTCTGTGTTTTGAAGGATTTACTCGAGTCTGTGAACCCGCTGGGCAGTTTTCCCTGTCTAGGCTGGACTCAGTGCTGCATCTGTGCTCAGGCCACATCAGGAGGGGGCTGTATTACGCTTGTCTGGGAATGGTTGGCTGAATCAGGATGGCATTGGCCGGGACAGCTGCAGTGGCTTGACCGTCCATACTGTCTCATCCTCCAGCAGGACAGCTCATTATACTCCCTTGGCGAACGGAGAGCAGGAAAGCAAATGGAAATGTGCAGGTTTCTCTAGGGCTGGCTCCGAACTAGTGTGCCCCCAGAAGATTCAAGAAATAGGAAAATAGATTCTGTCTCGTCAATGTAAGGAAATCTGAAAAGTTCCTTGAACCCAGGAGACATGAGGCTTTGGGTACATCAACCCAGCCAACTACGGAGTCTTTCATGACTCTATCTGTGTTGTCCATTACAGGTGTCATGAGCCACAAGTGGCTATTTAAGCATAAATTAACTAAAATTAAAAATGCAGTGCCTTCAGCTACACTAGCCAGGTTTCAATTCCTCAGTGGTCCCATGTGGCTGGTATTGGACATCACAGATATAAATCATTTCCATCATCCTAGAAAGCTGTGGGACAGCCCTGTCTAAACTTAGCTGCTATGGTATAGAGGCAGCATAGTACCAGGCTTTCTGTTCCAGTGTCCACATCCTAAGTATGTTGGCAGGAGCTTCAAGTGTCGAACAGTCTGAAGTCAGTGCAGGCAGGCTTTTATTTGTAGAGACCCTAGAGGCATTCCAGTAACAAGCCACTGATTTCAGGAGCTGCATCAACCCAGGAAGGCAGCTTCCTTAGCCATTATAATTGAATATAAAGACTTAAAATTCCAGATCAGAAGCAAAAGGAAGCCTGCACTTAGCTAAGCAGGGACAGTGATTTGCAGATGCTGTTATTAAGGACTGGGAGAGCCCTCTTAGTACTGTGCCATTTACACATTGCACAAGCAGCAGCTTTGTATTTTGCAAGTTGGAGGAAAGAACTGAGCTGCTCCGAGGCTCTCCTCCCTCTCTGCTCCCTGCTCCCTCCCCTTCTCTGGGGATCTCTACTTCACTGACCTCCTGTCCAGCAAGCCTTTGTGGATCAAAGACATGATCTTTAAAAGAACAAGCTATCTACATATGGCTGTGTGTGTTTCTATGTGTATGTATTTCAGACTAACAATAATTTTTAAATAAGAGGCAAATGCTCGTGGTAAGAACAGTGACTGCATAAATTAGTGTTTCTGACAGACAGCAGACTTAAAGAGCCCCTTGGAGATTAAAGAAACAAAAGGACATTCCAAAACAATGTTTTTGCTCAGGATGTGTAATACAGCATTGTTTAGAATAAGCAAAAAATTATAAATCCTTTATTGTCCAGTGATAGGGAACTTTGTAAAATATATATAGGATGCCATGGTGGCAGTGAACTCACACACTTACACACACAATTTTGTTTTTAGACATGCTTCAAAAAAATGTGAAAAATGCTCAGGAAATCCTATGGAGCAAAAGTAGAATATAACCAGTATATTCATTATGATCCCAGCTATGTAATATTTATGCAGATATATGCATAGAAAATGAAGCTTCAGGGTAATAAGTCAGTAGACAGCATTTGCACACTATTGTCACTCCCCAGTACCTGGCACCAGAGGACTCAATAAATATCTGTGAACTGACGTTATTTATGGGACAAGGCATTAAAAGTAGTAATTTTGTTTTCTTTATTGTACTTTTCTATAGTCAGCATGTTTTACATTTAACTCAGCAAAAAAAGTTACTCATAGTCATTGAGATCAAAGATACATAAGGAGCAGCTTCCAGACTGATGCAAAAGAATATGGTAAGCAGCGCATAAACTGAGGACACTTTTAGGACCAGGCCTAACAGTGTTGGCGGGCCCTGTTGGGATGCTGCACACCACAGGTCTCACCCATGAGCTCTTGTGTTTTCAGGTACTACCCAATGGGCCACCCAGCATCTGTCCACCTGTACTTCCTTGCTGACCGCTTCCAGGGCTTTCTGATTAAGCATCATGCTACCAATCTGGCGGTGAGCAAACTCGAGACCCTGGAGACATGGGTGATGCCAAAGAAAGTCTTCAAGATCGCAAGTCCCCCCAGCGACTTCGGGAGACTTCAGTTTTCTGAGGTAAGAGGCCTGATCCTGTCCACGTCATCATCTTTGGCAGCCGCCTTACCAGGTTCTGTGCCACTCTGACACTTCTTGTTGAAGATGGAGGAAGGGATTTATAGAACTGTAAAAATGAGTTCACTCTGGGCCTGGAGAAGACTTTCTAGTCTGAACCAGCATCTTGAACAGTGGGGGAGGAGGGAGATAATGAGATATCACCATTAGTGGCCAAAACCAACCTGGAAGGTTGGTCTGTTTCTTTAATAGAATTTCTTCTTCTAATTTTTCATCCTAGCTGGTGATTCTACCTAAACCTGTGTTAATAACATGCCAGTAACAAGCCAATTTCCTCATGAAGTAGTGTTGTCACTACAGCTTTACAGATTGGAGAATTGAGGCTTATGGAGATCTCATGATTTTCTGGATCATAACGAGGAAGTAGAAGAGCTCAAAAGTGATCCTAGGCCTCTGTGAACGTAAATGCCATGCTTGTGTTTTGTCATCCCACTGCCTAGCACAGGGTCTAGCTCAAAATAAATTCCAGATCAGTCACTGACTACAGGATTGGATGAGTGAATGGATGGGTAGATGCATGGGTATATAGATGCATGGAGGGAGGGTGGATGGATGGACAGATGTGTAGACACATGGATGGCTTGTGAATGGATAGATGTATGGATAGATGAATGAATGGATGAGTAGATAAATGGATGCATGCAAAGACATATGATTAGATACATGCATGGATAGATGGATGGACAGATGGATGCATGGAATGAACACGTAGACGTATGAATGCAAAAATCCATAGAGTGGCGTTTCCCCATCTTTTATTTATTATTCTGGCTGGAGAGATGATGTACCTGTTGCCACCCTTTAACTTCAGCACTACCTCCAGGCCCAAGGTGCCCCACATATTCTGTCCTCGGTTTCTTCACTTTGTCTAGGACCACTTTCCCCTTACTTACACACATTTCTTACGTCTTTGTCAAACATCCCGGATTTGTTCCTGCCTCAGGCTTGGCATGTGCTGACCCCCTATCTAGAATGCTCTCTCCCAGGTTGTCACATAGCTTCATTTCTTTAATTCTCAGTCACTCTGATCTAAATCCAAATGGTGTACCTTCAGAGAAGCCTTACCTAGATCCCACTTAGACTAAATAAGTACATTATCTGCCTGCCACTTCCTCTGAGTTTCTTTCATAGTGTTTACCACCTAAAATTTTCCTGTTGATTTATCTGATCATTTGTTAATTGTTCATAAAACAGTTAGAGCTGTACCTCTCTTATTCACTACTGTGTCCTCAGCACATATCATTTACAGAAAAGCACATGCCATTTGTAGAAAAGCACATGTTATTTGTAGATTCTGAATATAATTTTTGAATGAATGAGTAAGTGCATTTGGGTGGCCATCCTGGAGGGAAGGGTGAATATGGTTGGTCTTGGGTAATGCCGCCTACATGAAACTCCAGCTTCTGATTTCTGCCTTCCCTGAATCAGTAAGTAGCTAGAGAAGTGATTATTCTCAATGAATTGGGGGTTAGGAATAAAGGGTCTGACTTTCGAATGTGCAGAAACTTGAGAGGCTAGGAGTGTAGTGAGGGAGGGAGTCTTGCCTGCTTATATTCTCCTTGCCAGTCCTTCTTTAGCCACCTGTGGTCCTGCCTTGCTGATTTGTTCCCCACTGTACGGGTCCGCATGTCAAACATGCATGAGTGAGAGTTTGTTGTTAAGCCAACCTTTTCAATAAAGGCTCCAAATGGATTGGCTAGGTTTGAGCTGCCATGGAAGCCCACTCCATAAATTACCGGTGTCAGGGGGTAATTAGACACTGCCCCAGTTGGATGCTGTGCTGGAGGCCTGAGCAGCCATTGAAGACATTAATGTCCCATTAAAGAGATGGATGTCGGGTGTCTGGGCTCTGCCTGTTTTTTAGCCTGCTGTTGGGTGACTGGGTACATATAGCAGTGACAGGTGCTGGTGGCCACTCCATGGCTAGTGATTTGTGAGGGTTCCTCCTATGGCTCTAGTAGTCTTCGTGAGAGAACCAGTAAGATAGCTGGCAGAAATAACAGTGGAAGATTTGTAGAAAGCCCTAGTCTTGTATTTTGGATTTTTTTCTAATCTTACACATTTGTACTAGAAAATGTAAAGAACTGAACATGAATGAAGGGAAGAGCTTTAAGGCCACTTCGCTAGCTGTTGAGTCTCCCTGGTCTCAGCACTGCCTGGGCCTTGGCACAGTGCCCTGCAGGTGACCAGTGTTGTTGAATAGCTCAGATAGATCTGTCCAGTCCATGGCAATCCCTGCCACTGGCTTAGAGAAGAGAAGCTCATCCTTCTGTAGGCTGTCACAAAGGGCCTATACAGCAGTGACCCAGATAGATGACACCCCTCTTGTCATGGAGCTGCAGTGTTGTGGGGAAGCCAGCCAAAAACAACAGTTAAATGAATAAAAACATACCAGCTAATGATGGCGGTTACAAGGAAAATGAAACTCCATTCATTCATTTGATTGCTGAAGACCTGGGACATTAATGGAAACTACCTCAGATAGAAAGATTCATTCTGAAAGGCTTTCCTAAAGATGTCAATTTAAAGTTAAAACCAGTAAAGGAGCCATCTATGGGGAAACTTGGAACATTCTCCACAAAGAGAAAGCATGTACAAAGGCCCTGAGGCTCTAAAACGGAGCCTGGAGTACTCAAGGAGCAACAAGAGTAGGGTGGCCAGAGCACAGAGGGTAAGAGGGCATCAGGTGGGCATTAGATCTCTGTAGGGGATAGGATCTTGCAGGCCCTAGAAAGATGTTCAGATTGTCTTTCAAGTGCAGGGGGAGCCTTGAGTGGGTTAGGAGCTGGAAAACAGTATGTCAGGCTTGAACTTCAACTCAAACACATGCTTAAATTCAAGTAATTGATCATTTTGCATTAACTGTGGGCTTCCACACTGATGCCCAGGGGAAGGTCTCAGAGGTCACGGCATGTGATAGTAGCAGAGTTGTGTCTCAGGAGAACCCTCACCTCCACTTGATGGTGGTAGCTGACTTTCTCCTTGTGCTCCTCACTTAAGAAAGCAGACCCTAATTTTTATTCATTGCTTTACAGCTATCGTTGCCCTGTGTCCTTGGTAAAGAATTCCGATTTTAGAGAACCGCTCCTCTCTGTTTCTTTGGCAAATCCAAGGACAAGGTTCTAGAGAGTCCCCCCTCCCCTGAGTGGTCACAAATCCCTTCCCTGGTTTCTCCATCTGTACAGTGAGTATAGTAATGGGTCTCTCCTTCTCAGAGCTGGGAATAGTAAATGAATTGCTGCAACCATGTGCTTCATGCCATGCCTGGCACCCAGTCAGCCCTGCTTCGTTATTAACGTGGAGCAACATAGTAACTCAAGGGAAGGACAGGAAAAGTGAGGCAGCTCCCGTCTCCAGGGGACGCTGCCAGCTTCCCCAGGCAGACGTGTACACCCACTCCCTCCCTGAGCACACAGACACTGGAGGACCAGTGCCTACCCAGAAGCACATACCATCTGTACCAGGGTGCCTGCTGCTTTACCCTCAGTGTTTCGGGTTAGTCCTCCTGTAACACAGTGCCACTTTTTCTCAAGTTAGAAGACCGCTCATTTGATTTGACTTGAAATAGCCCCAGAGCTCAGTGTTGGGGATCTGCATGATTCTGCTTTCACAAGTTATTCACTTATTCCTTGGGTAGACATTGCTTGAGCACCTACTGTATGTGGAAGCCATTAGTAGGCACCATGAAAGAGTGGGAAGCCAAAGAGGGGAGGCTCCATTGATACAGAGAATTGATGTCTTAATGGGAGGAGGTGGCAGCTGGGAGGTGGTGCTTGGTCCCAGTGGTAGAAGGCAAAGCAGCAGGAATGACAGTGAGGGAAGGGCCATTCTTGATTTGGAGATCAGAGAACTCCAAGGAGGCGCCATAAATAAGAGTCTGACCAAAGATATTGCAAGAGAGACAGAGCAGGAACCTGGGTTGGAAGGGACCTGAGGGACTACCGTGTGGGGTGCAGGATGAGGAGGACATCGAGGGGCAGGCAAGGGCTCTGAGCCATCTGAGGTGGGACTAGTGCTGGGCTGAGTGTGCTAGGAATCCCCAGGCTGATGAGAGCACATGGAAGTACTTTCTGACTTCCCAGTGGCGAGTACAGTGCCAGCCCCAAAGGAGAAGGATGAAAGCCCAGATCAGACTCCTGAGAGTCAAAGCCACACAACCCCCCAGCTGGCTGGTGAGAAGGATGCATCACAGGATGTCTCCCATCCCTAGGGCCTGGCTCAGAGTGAGCTGGAGAAGCCGAAGCTGGCTCTTCCCAGGAGTACAGCAGGAACTCCCAGCTTCTGGTGAGGTTGCTCCAGCAGTGGGCTCCATCCTTGTTCAGATCCAGTGCACTCATGGAGGCGTGTGATTTGGAAAACTGAGGACCCAGGCAGAAACCAGCCTTATCTGTTTCATGGCAAGGGGTGTCTCTTGGAAAGGCCTGCGAGCTGGTATTCACCTATTCGTGTATTCCATGCATAGTTCTGGGTTTGTTGGCTTTTGTCTAAATATACACCACATATGGGCACAGGAAACCCAGTGGTTTAGTAAAAGTACCACAGGCCTTGTGTTTCCCCAGGCTGGGCCCAAACCCCAGGTCTTTTGCTTACCAGCTGTACAATCATGAGTAAGTGACAATAGGAGCATCAGTCTCCTCATCTGTGAATGGCCATATGAAGCCCTCAGCCTTTTTGGGACCAGCACCCTAGACCACATCCAATGGCTTCATGACTGATTCTCCTGTTTCAGGTCGGCACAGACTGGGATGCCAAGGAGCGGCTGTTCCGGAACTTTGGTGGTCTCTTGGGGCCCATGGATGAGCCAGTAGGAATGCAGAAATGGGGGAAAGGGCCCAATGTGACTGTGACTGTCATTTGGGTGGACCCTGTTAATGTCATCGCAGCCACCTATGACATCCTGATTGAGTCCACTGCTGAATTCACCCACTACAAGCCCCCTTTGAACTTGCCCTTGAGGCCTGGGGTCTGGACAGTGAAAATACTCCACCACTGGGTGCCCGTTGCAGAGACCAAATTCCTCATTGCACCTTTGACCTTCTCAAACAGGCAGCCCATCAAACCAGGTGAGTATTCCCAATGTCTCTGCAGTGGAGGGTCCATCCGCAGAGACCTCAGAGTCCCCAGCCTCGGCAGCGTGCCCTTATGTCGAGCATGTGGCTGCTTTGCAGAAGAGCAGCCCCTGTTTTTTGTGCCTTCTCCTACTTGTTTGCCCTGGAGAGCCGTCTAATTTCCCACCTGCACACTGAGGTGATATCATCTGCCTATGTAGTAGATACCTGTTTATTAGATACTCTCCCACCAGACTTCCAGAGGGCCCTGATCATATTTAAGGCAAGACGAGAAAGAATACAAGGCAGTTATTGAATCTCAGCAAGGTTTTTTTTTACTGTTTAGAAAATAAGGATTAACATAGGAATTCTGTTCACCAAAGCTATGACACCCTGAGGAAAATGAGAAACTAGTGAAAGATAGCTACTTTTGAGAAATATCCCTCTTCAGAGTATATAAAGAAATCCCATAAATCAGAGGTAGTTGGACTCCAAGCCACAAGCACTTGGGTTTTGTGTGTCAACCTTTATTGGAATGCAGTCATGTCCACTCATTTACCTGGTGTCTGTTTCCACTTGGGGGCCCCTGTTTCTACAGTGGTAAAGTTAAATAGTTGTAAAAAGGACTTCATGACTTCTGAAGGAATCAGTACAGATCAGGCCCTTTACAAAAAGAAAAGATCGCCAATCTCTGATACTATAAAAAAAAAAGCAGAGAAAAAGAGATGACGTGAATGGCCCACACATGTAAAAATTGATCACCCTCATTAATAATGAGAGAAGTACAAATTAAAAGCAAAAAGAGGTTCTACTTCACACCTGGCATGTTGGGAAATAAACATACAAACCTTGGGCAGTACTATATGCTCATGAGGATTAAGAATAATGGACGTTCATCAAGTTCCAGAGGAAAGATAAGTGGACAAAACAAGTTTAGAGGACCACTTAGCACCCCTCGTAAAGCTGAACATAGACACCCTTAGCACACAGAAGTTCCACTCCCAGGTCTAGTCCTTAGAGACCTGCACAGGAATGGTCCTCGCAGAAGTGCTTATGAGAACCCCATATCAAAATTAATGAAAATGTCTCATATGTGAAAGGACTGCTTGTCATCTCTTTGTACAACAGAGTCCTATGCAGCATTGACATCAGCAAAACACAGCCACAGATATCACCTGCAGAGAATCCTTAAGAGATGATGTTGAGGAAAAAAATAACCACAGAATAAATCATAACTAGGATGCATTTATTTGAAGTTCAAAACCAGGAAAAAATACTGGTATATTATTTCACCATCCATGTGTGGATAGAAAACTGTAAAGGAGGAAAGGGAATGGTAAGCACAGATTTCAAGACGGTGGTCTTCAGGGGACATGAAGGAGAGGCAAACCAGAATGCCAACATTTCTACCCCACCCAAAGGATGTACTCTTATATTTCTGTGTCTCCTTCACCTTATTTTACAAAGGGAACAACCTTTTCCTGCTAAAATTCTACTTCCAGGAACAACCACTGCCAGCAATTTGGCATACATCCTTCTAGATTTTTTTTAGTGCTCTGAAAACAAACACATAGCACATCACAAGTCACAGGAACGTCATTGCTTTTTAAAATGGAATGCAGTAATACATTCTTTATTGAAACTTGCTTATGTTGTTCTCTACGTTAGTGTCTAGACTCTACAAGCTGAGGGAATTTCAGTGTGTGAAGGAGCGAGTCTGCCTGTCCCCTGTTGGTGGGCACATAGCTTCTGTTGTTGCTGATGATGTTACTACAGATAATGCTTCAAGAAGATTCTTGAACATGAAATGTCTGTGCTTATGTATGCACATCCATAAAACAAACTCCTAGTAATAGGATTTCTGGATATCAGTATAATCATCCCTTGTTATCTGCAGGAAATGGGCTCTAGGACCCCCCCATAGATACCAAATTCCACATTTGTTCAAGTCCCTTATAGAAAATGCATAATATTGGCATATAACCTACCCACATCTTTGCCTTTATTTCAAGCAATCTCTACCAAATACGATGTAAATGCTATGTAAGCAGTTGTTATACTATATTGCTTAGGGGACAAGACAAGAAAAAGCAATGTGAAGTACAGACCCAATTTTTCTCCCAAATATTTTGATCCACAGTTGGTTGAATCTGTGACTGTATAGCCCTTGGACATGGAGGGCTGGCTGTGTTTGGAATTATACATAGAATGACTCACAAACTCAGAAGTGTGAAACATGTTATAGTCCCTGTTAACTAGGAAGAACTCTGAGCCACTCATTTTGCTGATGAAAAAGGAGAGAAGGACATAGACGTCCTACAAGAGGGTGTCTTGACATGAATCCTGGCAGCTTCCACTAAAGCTTTGTCCTAAGTCTAAAGACAGAAAACTCATGTTTCTTTGAGATGGAAGCCTGTTTCTTTACTCCCCTATGAAGGAGGCAAAAGACAGCTCCTCTGGTACTAGGCAGGCCAGAGCCCAACCACTTAAGACCTTTAGGTGTCCCCTTCACCAGAGACACTTCCGACCGTCCCTCAGGGTCCTTAAAGCCAGATGTGGAGGAGTGGGATGGAAATGACAGGCAGCATCTTTACTGCTTCGGATACACACAGGACAGAAAATGGCGCAGTCCTGAATCCACCCCCACCCAGGAAAATAGCCTGAGGCCATGCACTGGGTCCTACAGTTCCAAAAGAAGGCAAAGCTCTTCCCAGCCATGCCCGGGAAGACCAGGGGTCCTTCTGCCCCTTTGGGACCAGCTCCCTCTCCCCTGTTTTCAGTAATTGTATTTGTTAACGATGTTCCAATGACAGGGAACATGAAGGTGGGAGCAGTGCAATTTGTAAAATGATTCATCGCGAGTAATTTGCTATTCATGCATCCCTGGTAATCTCAAGAAATCTGATGAGGTGGAATTGAAGAAAATTTAATTATAGAGGCAAGCATCAGGAGCTGATACCGTAACAGCACTTCCCACATTAACCTCATTTTTCATGAGTTTTTTTGCAGCAACCACAATATTTGGTTCCCATCCCAAGCTTTGAATGTGTGTTAGCTGCCCCTATGGAATGTCCCGCCTTTTGTCAGTGTGAGCAGACTTCCTTGCCTCCCACCCACTGCAGAGTGGAAGTACAGAGGGGCCCCCCACCGAGGCTGTGATCTCTTGGGCCGCCTTTGTAACATAAACTGTCATTTCAGTTCATTCTATCTACAATGGAGCCTGCTTTCTACAGTAATACACATTTCATATATCTATATCCACTAACTAAATCAACAAATGTCTTGTGAATAATAAACGTTTAATAAGTATATGTTGAATTAATGTCTTGCCCAAAGTGGATGCATACGTAACTATTGAATGAATGTCTGGACCATTGCAGAGGCTCCATAAATAGGTGTGGAATGAATAGAGGAAGCACCACACCCAGCACAAAGTAAGTCCTGTCCTGGCAAGCTGTTTCTTCACTTATAAAATGAGCCGGCTAAAAGCCTACCCTGTGAGACTGTTGTGTGAATTAAAAGAGGTGCGACACGGTGCCCAGTGCAGCCCCAGGTACACAGTACGAAGGTACCCAGTTAATAAAGCTATCCTCATTCTCTTTGGCTTTCAGAGGAGGCATTGAGGCTGCACAACGGGCCCCCCCGCAGTGCCTACATGGAGCAGAGTTTCCAGAGCCTGAATCCAGTCCTCAGCCTGCCCATAATTCCTGCCCAAGTGGAGCAGGCTCGGAGAAATGCAGCCTCCACAGGCACAGCGCTGGAGAGCTGGCTGGACTCGCTAGTGGGCAGGATGTGGACCACAATGGACATCTGTGCCACGGGCCCTACCTCCTGTCCGGTGATGCAGGCCTGCAGTCAGACAGCCTGGAGCTCCTTCAGCCCCGACCCCAAGTCAGAGCTGGGGGCAGTCAAACCTGATGGCCGGCTCAGGTAGCACTGGCCACATGTGGACCACAGCACAATCTCAGCAGGAAAGCTGCCAGAGGGGCCTGAAGCCTGGCCTCCCTCTCTGGGTGGACCTCCTGGCCATAGAACAGTGGGGGAGGTGAGTTTGGAGGCCAGAGTGGATCGGCCTACATTTGGCAAGCTGGCTTCTGGGGTGGGGATGGCTCCGTGCCAGCACCATGGCGGTCTCACCCCTTCTGGTTGACCCTCGACTCCTGCAGGTTCCTGTCTTCCCCTCCAGTGATCTGTACCTGTGCCCCCCACCCCACCCCACCCCAAGTGATTTTCAGACTTTTATTTTGAGCCGCAGAACTTCATTTACTCAGCTCAGTGGTAGGTAGAAATTCATGGTATGGGTAAAACTAGGCTGCTGTGGTTGAAGCTGCATAGGCTGCCTCAAAAGCTCACCTCACTGGGGGTCCCTTTGCCAAGGGCATCTCCTCAGGTCCCTCTCCTGAACCCAAGGGCTCTGCACAAGCCAGTGTGACGACCACTGCCCAGACCGAGGGTATGAGCTCCAGCTGCCCTTCTGCTTATCTCTCTACTCCTTTGGCTGGGAACCCCTGGCCCACCCTATAACAGCAGGCCACAGAAGGTCACAGGCTTAGGCCTCTCCCAGGAAAGTGGCAGGTTTGGGAGGGCTCCAAGCCTCTCACCAGCCTCTCTCCTACTGAGCTATTCTTCATGATAACTGGAAGAGCAGGAAAGCCATTTGGCCAAGGTCTACTTGGGCCTGTGGCAGCCAGCTGTCCCTGGGTCTAGGCCACGCTCCATGCAGTAGAAATGGCAGTAGAAATGGGGTAATGAGTATGAGCCTCATGTCTCCAAGTGGTTCATGAGCTGCAAAACTGAGACCATGACCTCTTTGGTCCTTGAAAATGGAAATGTTGGGGGTCATGGCCGTGGAACTTACAAGAGATTGCTTGGAACAAAACTCCTGAGCTAGACAGTACAGCAATACCCATCATCTGCCAGAGCCCTGCCGTGCTGAGGTCAGGCCCCAAAGCCTTTGTGAATCGCACATTTGGTGCTGTTGGCAGTGACCAAACCCATGGACCAGACTTCTCGCATCCAGAAAAAAAGCATTTCAGATTTGCCTCTCAGTTTCATGCCCTTCCTTTTCCAGAGTGCCAACAGGCCCATCTGCACATGCAATATAAAAACAATTGAGTTTCAAAAATGTTCCTAAAGGTTCTTTAAAAATTAAAAAAATATTCAAAGTGCTAGAGTTACCAGAAAACTGAAGGGTTTCCTTCCCACGTCCCCCGGCTTGTCTGGGGCACCTCCCCAGTAGCACCCCTTCCTCCCTGATCTTCACATCCCCTGGATGACAGGGTTCACTGGGGAAAGTCACACCTGTCCTTCCGAGGTGAGCCGGTCCTTGGCATCTCCCCAGCATGGGTGTCAAATTACTATGGTCCACCTCGTGGCCTGTCTGCTGTGCTGCCCTCTCCCGCCCAGCAAGGCAAGATGTCCCGTTGGCAATGGAGGACATAGAGAAGGGACACTAGATATTTATTATTTAATATGTTTTAGTCAATGACTAATTAGTAGGTGCTGTTTTTGCAGCTTGTCATTTATGTTATCTTACTAACTAAAGCTGCCTTTATTCACAAAAGGCTCCCTTCCTCCTCCCTCCCACCCCTTGTCTGTCTGTCCCTCTCTATCTCTATCTCTAATTCTGTCTCTGTCTCTATATGTCAGCCCTACATCCTCCTTGTTCTCAGAGTAAAGCAGGGGTGTTGGACACCATGAGAAAGCTTCAGCTGGCCTCATCTACCAGCATGACGCAGGTGCCTTTGGGACCTCTAGAGCCTCATTTTTCCTTATGCAGGGTGTTAGCCCCATCCGTCCACTCAAATGCAAGAGTGCTGAATTCCTGATGGCCCTGCCCTACCCAAGCATAGAGATGTGCTGGCTGAAAATTTGGGGAGGGGGCAGTGTGCTGACTGTAGAAAGCTGCATGGAGCTGCTTGGTCCACAGGGAACTCCCCATAGCCAACCTGACCATGAGTCTTGATATGACAGTGACAGGGGAACAGGCTCCTTCCAAGGGGAAGAGGGTCATGGGACCCAGCCAGGAAAGCCGAGGAGATAGCTGTTATCCACAGTGAATTTTGGGACCTCAGAGTGGCTTTCTCAGAAAGTTTACAGGTTCTCTAAGTGGTTTTACAGACTATGAGAACCACCAGTCCAGTACTACATCTTCTTTCTCCATCAGCCTCTGCCCCTGGTCAGGGCTTCTCTGAGGCTGCTGAGGTCTGGGAGGCTTCCCCTTACCTTCCTTGTTCAGCTTTTAGGTCTCTGTGTTTTCTACAGTGTTACGTTCAGTGGCTTCAGGAGCTCAGTCTCAGCAGGTCCCTGGATACAACGGGAGCTGCAGATTCCGAGGCAAGGCCGCTCCTGACTCACTGACATTTCAGACTTCCTTCCATCCTAGAACAAGTGGAGAAAGGCAGAGGTGACTTACTATGGGGACCACCCTCCTCCCCCAAGGCTTTCCTCCTCACTCGTGGCTACTAATTCTGGGAGCTCGGAAGTCGCATCAGTATTTCTTTGTCTCCTCTGTTTTTGGACCAGAGAATAATTTTGCAGATACTGCATTTGATAAGAAAAGAGAATTCCAAACAACACCCAGCATGATTTGAGAAAAATAGATGTTTCTCAGGAAAGCCAGTGTTAATGCTTTTATTTTTAATGTCTGCCGACAGTGTATTTGTTGGAGGCAATTGGTCAGGCATCCTTGAGCTGCACCTGCCTGGGGATCCCTCTCCCTGGGAGCCATGCTCTTCAGGAACCCTATCACTGTCTGTAGAGGCTGGAAGGGATGATATCCTACTAACCAGATCCCTAGAGTCTCTGGAAAGCTAAGTGGGGAGACTTGGGTGTCAGCTTATGGGGAGAAGGAAATATCCCTAGATGCTGTTGTCTGTGCATTTCCCACTCATCCAATGACATTCAGAAAGAAAAGAATCTCAGCAGGTATCCAGCATTTCCAAATCCCACTTCCCAAGTCCTGTACAAAGCAGTATATCCCCGAAGAGGAGGTGAGCAATCTCTTAAAGGCCCCTTGCTTTAAGAAGTATGCTCCTTCCTTGCACTGGAAAAAGCCTTTCTGGTGGGATCAGAGGAGAGTCCTTCTGGTTTTATTTCTCATTGCTCATGTAACTTTTACATTTCATATAGAATTTAGAGAGAATATCACCACACAACCCCTACCCCAGAGGGTTGGCTTATCACCACTCTAGAAACATGCCTGCATATATGAAGATACTTCTTCCTCCTGATTCCTAGTTTGCAGATATACAAGGAGGTCATTGACTGGAACTGATCTCTGCCAAAAAGGTACAGAATAGACAAGAGCAGTAGCTCTCAGGTGTGAGGCATGAGGAGGGATGCTTTTTACAACCATATTCACTGAGGATTTGGGACACTAACTCCTCAGTAACATTTCAAAGGTGGGAAGTACACTAGAAACTGCTATCAGCATGCTCAGTTTTGAGCATGCAAAGAAGGTTTGCCAGATCAAAGGGCCACTCAATGGCAGGAGTCATGACTGCTTAATGAGGTCCAGGTCACAAACAAATGACTGAAGCCATTGATGCAAGGCAAAGGGAGTGGTGGGGACTGTGGTCTGATTGGCATATGTGGGACCCATTGGGAAAGAGCAGCTGCTACTCAGCTCCAGCCTGTCATTGCATGGAAGGATGCAAGCGTGTTGCAGTGGCATCTTCCAGTTTGGTAAGGGAAGCCAGAAATGCATATGTTTACAGAAAATATGACCTTTCAATGTTAGCTAATTTTTTAACAGTGTGAGAAAAAACATCCCATAGTTCCACTTATGCACCCCCAGTAAAATGCTGTCTGGAGAGATGGCTTCAAATGCCGTGAGGTCTTATCAAGTGGAAGAGAGGGAAAGAGCCAACACAAGGAAAAGCAAAAGAAGAATTCTTGGATTTTTGAAAGAATAGGAATTTCTGATGTGGTTCTCCTCCCAAGAGCCATCCCACACAGGAGGGCTGTCCTGTTAGCTGTCTTGGTCCCAAGACAGTGTGTGCTGAAGGGAAACAGGAATGCAGTCTGGAGGGGTGGGATGTCCTCCCTTACACATCCAGAGGTCCTTATCTGCCTAGGTCCTTACCCTTTAGGACTGCAACATGCCAGGCAGAAATGGCAAGGACAGGGTCCAGGACAAGGGAATGCTGAGTGAAACAGCAGGACTCTCCACATCTCAAGTCTTGGCAACCAATCTGCCACCTCTGGAAGCTTCCTCCAAAACCAAGCAGAGCTGTGCTTGTTCACAAGATGTTCTCTTTGCTTCTGCCTCAGTTACCTGACTTTGCCCATGGGTCAACCACAGGCGCTACCTCACTGTGTCCTGCTGAGAAGTTTACCTGGGGGGAGTGAAGGTGTCTATGTCTGCTGGAGCTAAATGAACAATCTATGCAATCTCTCTCTCCCTCCCTCCCTCCCCCTCTCCTTCCCTCTCTCTCCATCTCTCTCCCTCCTTCCCTCTCCCTCTCTCTCCTCTCTCCTCTCTTCTCCCTTCCTCTCTCCTGTCATCTCTTTCTCCCTCTTCCCATCTCTTTCTCTAACCTAGAAGTATTATTCTTTCTTACCTTGCAAACAAGATACTGTATAGGACCCTCTCAAGACTGCAGAGGGCTTTCATGCACCACCCGTGTCTACCCATCGCGTTGTCTTTGGTTCAGCTCTTGCCAAACCCCGTGCAGGGAGAAAGTGGCCTCTCTTCTCTCCCCGCTTGGCTGGAAATGCTCCGACTGCCTCTGCCTGCAGGCACCACTGGGAAGCAGGCCCCACCCCTTTTTATCCCGTTCCCAATACTGTCTCCTTTCTGCCTTTTCCTCCAACTTGCTTCTCCTACCCCTACCCTCCAAAAAAGCCTTAGGTTTCTCCTTTTTGAAATGTGGCCTTAAAATTATTTTGGAAAGCTGATGTCCTCTCCTTCTGATTTTCACCACTGTCCAGAAGAAAAGAGCGTCTTGAAGCTTTTTGTGGTGGCCTCCTGAGTCAGGGGCTGCAAAGCTGTAGTTTGAAGATGCGATAGAAATTGCTTACAAATATCATCTTTAAGAAAAATGCTCTTCTGTTTTTCCTATGGGCAAAATGGGGCTCGAGAGCTCACGTGAAGCTTAGCAGACTCCTGAAGCACTCTTAAAGAGTTGCTGTGAGGGGCTGGCTGAATTGCCAGCAGGGTGCTCACCATCTTGGCTTTCCAAGCCTCCCCTTCCCCCAAGACTGGGTGACTTCCTGTACTTCATCAAGGGTAAGTCAAGAGCAATTCTCAATTTATCTCTTTGTCCTTCCTGCCTGGAAAGTAATAGCATTAAATATTCCCAGTGGATGGGTCAAATTCTCAAAGGGACCCTTCCCCCCCACCCCCGCCGCCTTCAGACTCCATCCTTGCTCTTTCACCATCTAGCACTGATGGAGGCCAAAGACAACCCCAAGGTTTTCATAGGAAATTCACTGGAATTGAGCGCAATCATCTTTGTAGTCTTTCTGTCTTCTTTTTTAAAAATATTACTATGTTGTCGATAGCATTTGTTTTAGAGGCCTCATGATAAATTATTACTGTCTCCCTCACTGTTTTCAAAGACATGCGGTGATATAGTTTTTAAAAATAACTATTTTGTTATAGATCATAATATGCATACAATTGTACAGAAATATTTTGTAATGTATTGATTTTAAAAAAGAGACTCTGTAAATAAAGTCTAAAAAAAAGAGAGAGAAAGTTCACATGGCACACACTGAAAGATGTAGATATTTTGCTATTTATTTAAAGGAGTATTTTAAGAGAGATTGAACTATCTGAAGTTGACCAATAATGAAAGTTCTAATCATCAGAGTGCTTTTCCTCAAGGTAGAATGTGATTCTCAGAAACGACTGCATTACCTGCCCATTTTTGCACCCTTTCTGTCTTCATTTAGCAGAACAACAACAACAACAACAACAACAAAATTGTGCCTTAGCTGTATTTTTTGTCTAGGGGAGTTTGTTTCTGTCTGACAAAGCAAAATTTTTTGCAGAAAAGTGGATGTATTAAATATTGTATCATACCAAAAACACTGCAGGTGTATATAGATGCTTTCTGTCATACTGTGTTTTCAGATGCAGAATTTTAAAATAAAAAATGTCTTTATGGAACATTGTTTTGTTTTTGCTTTTCTGGTGGTGGGGTTACTGGGGATTGAACCCAGGGCCTTACACTAGGTACCCTACATTGACCTATATTGGCAGTGATCTTCTCCGCCCTGGTACTGGGCTTTGAACCCACAGGCTTCACACTGAACTACATCCCCACATCCCCTTTTTTATTTTGGGACAAGATGTCACTAGGTTGTCCAGGCAGACCACAAACTTGTGATCCTCCCTCCTCAGCTTCCCAGTCATGAGCCACTGCCTGTTTTGGCTGTTGGTTTTAAACAAATCACAATTACTCCATAGGAAAGCCCTTCCTGAGATCAAGGTCTCCATGATGCCACCTGAAAAAAATTTGGATTGGCAGTGAGAAAGGCGGGGATGGAATAAATATTGGATAGATACTGTTGGCTACAGAATCTAAAATGAATTATGCAAAACTCCAAGACTTGTGAGAAAAACAGAAGATGGGCAAAATTGCTGTGTGCCAAAATTACCTGCTCATGCCGAACAACTTAATACGCAGAAACTTTATGACACCAACTTCAAAGACCAGAAAGGCAAAGCATATTGGGCAAGGTGGTCCAGGAATGGAGGTGTGACATAGCTAGGCAAAATTTATTATGGAACACTGTTGTATAGCTTCTTTTGAAGCAGTGTTGTGTATCTTCACACAGTCTTGTGTTCTCTTCCATCATCTACCCCATGACAGGCTTGATGACTCTAGGATTTATATCCTAGCTGAGGTACTCTCTTGACAGTGGATACCGACTGGACGAGTGTGAAATCACAGGCATCAGTTGTGCCTTTCCTGGGGAATATCGGTCACATGGGTGTACTTCCTCAGAAAAGCTACTGTCATCTCTCCACTGGGCTGTTGCATCACCTTCCTAGAAGCCACTCTCCTGCATCAAAAGTATATGATTTTAAATCCTTATTTCTAGGGTGAGTAGCAAAGAGGGATCACCTTCTAAAGTAACACAGTTGTTCTGTTTTGTCCTGTTGTGTTTTGTTTAACAGTATTGGGGATTGAACTCGGTCTTCTCACTGAACTATATCCCCACCCACCTTTTGTTTTTGAGATAAGGTCTCACTAAGTCAATGAGTTGCCCAAGCTAGGCTCAGGCAGCACAGTTTATTAATAGTCATTTGGCTGCTCATTTAGCAAACCTGCTTCTCTTCACCACACAGCTAAACTAGGGCTCCTAGGCTGCCTTGCTCTCACACATGGCCATACGACTGACCTCTGGCCAAAGAGATACAGGTGGAATGGATGTAGGGCATCTATAACCCTGGCCTATGACCAGAGCCTTTTCTCTTTCAATCTTTCCCAATTTGGCACTTCATACGCTTTAAATTATTTTGATTTTGTGCATCATTTACATGAGTGCTTATTCTAGAGCTCACTCTGGAAGCATAAAGCAACAGCAACATAAAAGAGGGCAGACCCACAAAACAGGAGGAACCACAGCTCACTCCATTCATTGACAGAGGGCGGGTATTAGGGTTCAGAGCAGACTGGTTGAAAGCTGGGAGAAATGCAGGGAATACTTTTCAAGTCACACTGTCAAGCCCAATACACGTGTTACCAATTCCAGTGCCTCTTAACAAAACAGAGACCTCTCTAGTCTTTGAATCAGATAATCCTGTGTCCAAACACCAGTTTCATCATGAACTAGCTGAATCAGATTTGAGTCACCTTCTCTTGGCCTCAACTTCCTTATCAGTAAATTGAGGAATAATAATTACAAAACTATTGGGAGAATTTTTTAAAGAATGTATGTGACATACATATCACAGTGTCTGTACACCAGAGGAGTTCAATAAATACCATTTCTCCTTTCCTTTCTATGTCAAAGGTGAAAGCTCCCTGAGGTCAGGGACAATGTCTGTAAGCTTAGCATGTAAAGCTTATTAGCATGTCACTATTTAATGAATAAATGAGTGAATGAACAAACAATTGGACTGCTACCACATCTGTAATTTTTTATGCGCTTTTTCTCCACATCTATTCTATTTTTGACTAGACGTCTTCCTTATGTCCCTGTTTATAACAAACTGGCACCACCTTGGCTTCTGAGCAGGAAGTAAGATTTCTTTGAAATTCCCTAAACCGAGGGAAATACAGTGTTCTCCCCATCTCTTTGGAGGTCCCTGAAGAGAGTCAAGTTCAGCTACAATCATGGGATCCACTTCCACTGAACTGATTCATTTTACAGATCCCCCTTCCTTTTGCTATGTTCTTTTCCCCTCTTTTCTGCCCTATAGCATCCCTCCCGAACAATTACCTCAGTCCATTACCATTATTTCTTGAAAGTATTATTGCACAGCTATGTGGACAGAAGGTTTTACCCAAGCTTTTGGGTGAGGGATTGCATGAGAGTATTTTAAATTATTTAGAAGTTAGTATTAGACACAGCTTCCAGACGTGCTTTCATCTCCCTCTCTTCACTCTCTGATCATGTCTCTCCTGCTAGCTACTTTCCCCTACCCCAAAAAATACCATTATCTCTTTTCATCTCTCTGCTTCCTTGCAGACCCCCTCAGAGCTTCACATGTCTCACCTAAGGAAATCCAGAGAACTAAGATACCTCCTGAATTCTAAACTTATGTAGAGTGCGCTCGGGAGGAACTCAGGTGGCTATATGATAGCAATTACTACAAAATATACCCCCCTATTTATTTGATTTAACACAATCCTAGCTTGTTAAGTGATGTCTGAGCACTTTGGCTCTATTCCTTAGATAATAATGCATTTTACTTGTAAAATCTTTGTGGTTTTCTTTACCACAGTGAGAATGATTTCAGCCTCCCCAGGTTCATTCTTATTTTTTCATTTTAAAGAGAAAAAAACCAGTAACAAAATAACAACAACAAAGACAAAAACAAAACAACACAATAACAATAAAAGTAATACAGAATTTCAAAACGAGATGATAGGAATTAACAGTGGTTGGTATACTACATATTGTTATCTTCAACCAAGTTGCTCAGACTACCAGATGTAAGAATGCAAGACTGATCAAACAATTAAAGAATACAAAGTAATGAAAAAGAATTAGAAATGGTACAGAACTTTGCCAACCAAGATGGTAGGAATTCAACAATGGTTGTTGTATTGAGCACCTGCTCATTCAGCCGGGGTGGTTGGTGGGCCAGTAGGTTGCAAGTGTTCAGAGATGACCTTGGGTGAACTCTAGGACTGGGAATTATTTAGAACTCACAGTATTTTCATTCTATGGTTGGGTCCAGTGAAGTGCAGCCCTTCCTGCAAACTTTTATTTTCCAACTTTTGACTATGCATCAACAGACAGTTACACTGAATTAAGGGCTTAGGATTTATGCATCTAATATGGGCTTTGGCTCAGACTTAGCTTGAAAGACTGGAAATGGGCACAGAAACATTGAGGGACATTAGAGACATAGAAGCCTAACCATCCTCTATGTTAAAGTTGGATCTTTGTCCAAAAGCATAGTTGCTCCACCCCTTAAGTTCTTTCCTATTGCAATGAGCATTAATACTAACCACAATATTGGTGATATAAATTGAAAGTGTACCAACCAACTAACATGGATTATTTGACCCTTCCATCCATTGTTTGTGTGACTTTAGTCACTCTATTTTCTGTGATATAATTTTTTCACTTCTTAAAGGGGGTGGTCTTATATGACCTACTTATTAGTGAAGGGTTCAAGTAAGATTAAACCAGCCACTCTCAACCATGGCCAGGCAATAGAATCCTCTAGAGGAGATCTGAAAATCCTAGTGCCCAAGATACACCCTAGAACAACCAAATCTTAATCTCTGGAAAAGGAACTTGGGAGTCAGTAATTCCTCATGATTTCAATGTGCAGTTAAGGCTGAGAAATACTGGATTAAATGGATGTAAAACACCTGCTGGGATTATCACCATGGCCCTATGCTTACCTCGGTCCTTCTTCATATGATAAGAAGAATATTCCCATCTTGAGACCACATTGTCCACAAATACATACACCAGTACCCCATATTACTTAAATCAGAGCCATAAGGATCAAAGCGACCTCCACAATATTCACAGACAGCATCTCAGTGTTCCAGATTAACTCAATTGTCTTTAAAATATGAGGCTTAGAATCTATTACAAATCCCAAGAACTAGGAGAATTAGGACAAATATGTCTTTTGTGTCTTTTCCCTGCCACTAGGAGAAGTGGCTTTCCAACCATCTTAGAAAGCCTGGACATCATGTGTTCTCTGGGTGAGGTTGTGGACTCCATCACCAACCACCATCCCTCCCTTTTAATCATATCCTCATAGTCAGTTTATTCAACTTTCCTCTTGCCCTTGTTTATCCCATTTAACCCCTTTACACTCCCAAAAGTGAGCCTTTCCACTTCTACACTCCAGAAACTACTGAGAATGTCCTGCTACCTGGAAGCACTCCTGTATTCATGGACATTTCTTTGACTGTCATTAACTGATATCTCACTCAATCTGGACTGACCAACGAGCACTGGCTCAATGTGCCACAGATGTGCCAATGCTGAGTTGGCACTGCCTCCTGGCTAGCCTAGAGTTGTCTTGCTGGATACTGTTAGGTTTTCAGGTAGGTTAGAAAGCCTGTCTGGGAATGGGACCATGTCTTTAGACCTCCCCTACCCAAGGAAACAGCATCAGCATGAAATCGTTTAATAAAATAAAACCTCATACCCTTTCCAGACCTATTAAATTAGAACTCTCATTTTAACAACATAATATAGTGATTTGTATGCATGCACATCACAGTTTAAGAAGCACTGATCTATAACTTTGGGTGTCTAAACAGGTCGTTGACTGACCAAGTAAACAGTTAGCAAGCACCACGTAAGAAACTTTGCTAGAATTTTGGAACATTAGTGTGAGTAGAAGCAAGTCCTTATGCTTGAGGAACTTGTGGTGAAGACAGGCTATGATAACATGGTATACTAAGAGCCATTTAGAGCTATATGCAGAATACCATGGGTGCAGACAAGGGGTACTATGGC